ATATTTTTTTAGCACACAATTGCCTTCCGAGCCGGTAATCACAAAGAAGGAAAAATTGTGGTTGCCACTTTCACACCATCCAAAATGGCAGCTCACATAGGAAGCAGCACAGAGGTTGTATCTGAGGGGGTATGGGGACCATTTCTGGGAATGCCATTAGAAGCTCTTTCACATAACGCAATCTCTCTGAACCAGTTTTAGATGTACAGTTTCTGAAAACTATATTTAGACACCAGTCGCTTCGTTCTCACAAATACAACTGCCCCAGAGATCCTATGCGCGGCCACAGTCAACGTTCACTTAAGTCTTGCATACATCACGTTTAGTTCAGCAGTCTCTACACCAGGTTATTGACCCTCTTAAGCTGTAGGGGGCACAGCAAAAAGTGACAATGCTGATCCTCTTACAACGCAGAGGCTGAGTCCGACTTCTCTTCTACCCATCTTCTATGGTTACCTACCCCCCACACTTTCTCTGCTTCCCCATTGCCCACCCTCCAAAGGAAAGATTAAATTAAAAAAATCAGGTTATTAATACTGTGTTGGGATTTGTTTCTTCTGTGTCTTTTTTTTCCCCTTTTAAATAAAAAACTCCTCCTTTCGCTTGTGGTTCTCGCCTCCATTCAGAAATGCTTCTCGGGCTTCGCCATGTTCATCCAATCCGCTTGCTTCGTGAGTCAGGTATGAGCCTGAAAAAGAGTCATTATTGGTTAAAGTTGAAATCCAGGTAAACATAAAAGACACAAGTTAATGCAGCTATGTATACATGTTTTGATTGCAAGCAATGTAAAGTCTCTGAAGTTGACTTGGTATTAGCCTCATGCAATCTACTGTACAGCATTCAGAGAGGGAAGAACTACGAACCAATTAGATATGCTGCATGTTTATATCCTGACCAGAAACATTCTGATAGGAGGAGAGTGGATAGAGAGAACCCCATTGGTCTCCTGCTGCTTTGTCACTCTCCAGTCAGCAAGCTGGGAGTGGAGTGAGGCCAATCATGTATTCCTGTAAGAGGTCTTTTCCACCTAGCTGTACTCTGCGACGGAGCTGCGGTTCCTAACTCCCTATACCAACTATTTCGCGTCAACACCTCCCAACCTTAAAGTGGCACTAAACTCAGGAATGAAATCGTAAAAATGCATTTAAGCACCTTAACTATTAACACACATGTATCTTATTTGTGTATCACTCGGCTGTAGATCTTCAAATCACCTTTGTATTGGTGCCGACACTGGCCTTCCTTCTGGAGGTGGCCACTTTTGTTGGGTTATTGAGTTAAGGATGGTCAACCATACATGAAGACATGGAGAGCATAGTGGTAGGTGCCCCAAGAAAAAAAAAAAGTGTCCAGGTGTCAAGATCATGCTTGGTTTCATTTTTAAGTTGTTGGCCACTGTTGTGGCTGCTAAAATGTGGACGATAAGATTGAGTGTCTTGGGCTAGTCCTCCACCTAAACGGATTGCCCCATAGTGGGTGGGCCTAGTCACACAGCTTCCATGTAAAGTGGAAGTAGTGTCAGGATAACAGTGCCCCCAGATTTCTTCAGCTAGGGGGGCAATCCTCTGGAGTGTAGGAACTAGGTGCTTAACATTGTACCTTCTGGGGAGAAGCTACATTTAATGAAATACTCTCCTGGTGACAATGAGGTTTACCCCGTGTCCCAGTACTCTCCTGGTGACATTGAGGTTTACCCCGTGTCCCAGTACTCTCCTGGTGACATTGAGGTTTACCCCGTGTCCCAGTACTCTCCTGGTGACATTGAGGTTTTCACCGTGTCCCAGTACTCTCCTGGTGACATTGAGGTTTACCCCGTGTCCCAGTACTCTCCTGGTGACATTGAGGTTTACCCCGTGTCCCAGTACTCTCCTGATGACATTGAGGTTTACCCCGTGTCCCAGTACTCTCCTGGTGACATTGAGGTTTACCCCGTGTCTCAGTACACTCCTGGTGACATTGAGGTTTACCCTGTGTCCCAGTACTCTGCTGGTGACATTGAGGTTTACACTGTGTCCCAGTACTCTCCTGGCGACATTGAGGTTTACCCCGTGTCCCAGTACTCTCCTGGTGACATTGAGGTTTACCCCGTGTCTCAGTACACTCCTGGTGACATTGAGGTTTACCCTGTGTCCCAGTACTCTGCTGGTGACATTGAGGTTTACACTGTGTCCCAGTACTCTCCTGGCGACATTGAGGTTTACCCCGTGTCCCAGTACTCTCCTGGTGACATTGAGGTTTACCCTGTGTCCCAGTACTCTTCTGGTGACATTGAGGTTTACCCTGTGCCCCAGTACTATATAATCTAAATAAATATATCATATGTCAGAGAATGAGAAAAAGGTTTGACCATCTTGCTGCAAAACATCCTAAAAATTCACGTACTTAGTCCATCATCATCTGAACAAATCCCACTCACCTTTCTGTCGGACGGAGCACCAGACCATGACAATCAGGACACAGATGACGAGGAAGACCAAAAGTGCCAATATCCCACCTATTATAGCATAGGGAACTTGAGTCTGAGCCTCAATGATCGCTCCAGGGTCTACGAGAAACAGGAAACGTGAGGAAAATCTTAAATACTAACATTTTAACTGCACCACAAGAACTCACAAGGACAAATGGGCCAATATTCAATAAAAGCAAAGAGGAAATGAAGCAATCCAAGGACCAAAGTGACTTCCTACCACTGACTGAAATTGAAGGAATTAATCAAAATGATTTTCCATTATGTTGCAAACTTTTCATAGCTGGAGATCATCTCTGACCATTTTCTATCAATTGATAAATAAAAAACGTTCTTCTCTTCTGCCTGATGAGCCTTCCTGATCAAAAGAGAGGCCGTATGGTGAGAGGAGGCAGAACAAAGGTGGCATTCCCCCCCTTGCACATGTCACAGGCAAACTGAGCTTGACTCTATTCAATTGACTGGTCTGCGACCCACCTTCCAGGGCTGCCAAAGAACTAGTTACCAAGCACAATTAAACTGGTAAAAAAGTTACAAAAGCAGCTTCATTATTTCCCGAAGAATAAATTAAGGAATTGGAGGTGTGGTCCATAGCAAGCATCCAATCAGATATCATCCCTCATGTTGGGTAAGAATGACATTTTACGGTCCTCCATTGCTTTTACATCACCCGCACCTCAGTCTGAAGATTTGCCTTGTACTCACCATACACCACCAACACATACTGGTCAGAGGAGCGGCCATGTTTGTTGGAGACCTGACAGCTGTATGTTCCGTTATCCTGCAGACTAAGTGAAGGAATGGACAGGAGGTCGCCCTGGACCTGCGATCGTTCCGGTAAGGAGTCATTGAGGCGACTCCAAAAGATCTCATTTGGCCTGTTAGGAGGGAAATATGTTGTCAGTAGTGCTCGGAATTCTATAAAATGCCAGAAAGGAGACAGTACCAGAGCTCCAAGTGCAGACAGAAGATAATACAGACAGTATTCAGCAGTAATAGACCAGCATCAATTTAAACTGCCCTATACTGCAGACATAAACATATTGCTGTCACATAGAATGATATAGAAGGTAGAAACCGTACAAGAATCTTCTTTTTCACCCATTAGAGAAAGTCCATGTTGAATCCAGTGTGCCTCCATCCCATTGCCTGCTACCAGGGCAGGACTAGAGGGTTAGATTTAGGCATGACAAACATCACTCACAAACCATTGGACAACCTAACTTTCTTACAGCAGCCTCTTGAAGAAGGGGTGGGGCCTAACAGTAATATGGTACAGCTTAATTAGTACTAAAAGCCATATTTCTCTTTTGAGTCACAGGAGAACATATACTAATGTCCTCCTGTGACCCAAAACTCAGCATATGCTGACAGCACACAGCCACACTGCAGCCGAAATGGATCCTGACAATCTTGTTGGGATCTACCCCGCTGACTGACTGACAGGTGTCTCTGCCTCTCTAGAGCCACAGCCAGCTGTGCCCACCCCCTCCCCTGACCTGCCAATCAGACTGTAGAAACTGAGAGGGGAGAAGGAATCCCTGCAGGGAGAAGATCTTGAACTGAGCGATCAGAATACGATCGCTCAGGTCTCGATCAATAGAGCCATCGTTTGAAAGCTTCGGTGCAGCATTTCCCCAGTCTCCCTTACTCCAGTGATCAGAATGTACTTTGTAACTTTGTAGCAAGTCACAAGGTGAGAGGTTGCATCAGGCGCTGATCAGTGTCGGACATTTGTAAAGACAGCCCGGAGCTGCAAAAACACCAGGATTTACAGGATTGCGTCATCTCTGAGCCAGCATCTGGGTCCAGAAAGCAGATGCTGATGTTGGGCGATACCGGAACAAAGATGGCACATCCTTGTGATAAGCAAAGCAGAGGAAGGCATTATCATGGGAGTACTGTGCCTTGGAGAGACAATTACCCTGTACGCATTTAACATGAAGAAATATATACATGAAGCTGGGGCCATCTTAAGAATGACCATTCAGGCCGTGCTTGGTGCTGTAGTTCTCTTTTGTGCACTCACTTAGTTATGCTATTGCTATCGGCACCATGGAGAGCACAGCACTCGCTGCCTCCAACCACTCCACCTCTATACGTTCTACGTTGTACTCACTTGTTTACTTTCCCCCTCCAGCTCGCTGAAAGGGAGTTTGATTTGGAATTCATAAACCTTTTCTTTGCGTCTCAGGAATAACAGATTGCATCGGGCTCCAAACAAAACAACACTCCACATACTTAGCAAGCCTTCCCTTGTCGCCGCAGCCACTGCCGCCCGTGTACATGAAGCATACTGGGTTTTAATAAAAGCGCCGGCAGGAGGAAATGTGCTGCCCAAATGTACCAACTTTCATTATTACTGAACCCCCCAGTTGGAAAAGTTTATTTAACGTACGATCTTTCCTAGAATTAGAAATGACGGCACGGGAAGTAGTTATTTTTAATGACATATCATTTATAGTAAGTAGTATAGTGAGCTCTGAAGAAGGGGGTTTGCCCCGAAAACGCGTTTAGCTCTGTCGGTCAACTGTCCTCTGATTTACGTCCTTTTCAGGACAGTCACTAAGGACATATATCAATTGCTGCTTGTATCCTTGCTCTCCTTGTGAGTACATACCGTATTTTGCGCTCCATAAGGCGCACCTGACCATAGGACGCAGGGAGGGTAGGGTTGTGACAGCTGCAGTTAGTGACAGCTGAGGCAGGTGGCGCTGTGATCACGCAGAGCAGACAAAGAACGGAACGTTCTCCGTCTGCTCTACGGGCTCTATGGTGAGCTCCTATGCCGTGGTCACGGGTCCCCCAGAGGAGCGGTGGACCCGAAAACCACGGCGGGGGGCCCCGGACACGCTCGCCGCCACTCGATTTGATACAAGTGATCTGATTAGATCACTTGTATTAAACGAGCAGTGGCTCCCACTGTACATTTAGCTCTGCTTGCCTGGAGCAGGGCTGAATGTAAAAAAAAAAAACAACTACTCAGCCGGCGCCCGAAACCGCATGTCCCGGGCGTTGGGCGATAAAGATTCGCTCCATAAGACACACAGGCATTTTTGCCCCCCTTTTGGGGGGAAAAAAGTGCGTCTTATGGAGCGAAAAATACAGTATATAGTAGGGATGCACCAATATATCGGCAGAAAATGGCACTTTTGGCATAATGCCGAAAGAGCCATGTTTCGGCCCATACATCGGCGCATCCCTGGTTACGCTGCCGAGCGCTGCAGGACGAGAGCGCTGTGAGCGGCCGGCGTCTCTCCTCCCAGACCGCTCAGCCGCCTATCACAGTCCGGCAGAGCGGTGTGGGGGCGGAGACAGCGCTGTCATAGGAGGCTGGGCTTTCCTCTCTACACCGCTCGATCAGCCTCCTGTGACAGCGTGTCAGAGAGAAGAGCAATGTACACACACTCCGTGATCGCTGAGTGTGTGTACATAATTGAGGATATGCTATGTTAACTATATCCTCAATTATGAATGAACGGGAGTGATCTACATCACCCCTATTCATTCATAATTGTGGTTATAGTAAACAAACAATGTTCTCATGTTCTGAATGATCAGGAACACTCACTATAGAGGATTCCTGTTCATTGATAAAAGGGAATACAGAAAAGAGATTGAGGACTGTGTTTTCAATCTCTTTTAAAAGGGAAATATCAGGGGTCTGTTTGGGACCCCTATTAAATTAAAAAAGTTTATAAAAAGTTAAATATTTTAAAAAATTGAAAAAATTAAAATAAAAAACATTTTCGGTATCGGTTTCGGCCTGACATTTTTTTAATTTCGGTTTCGGTGCACCTCTAGTATATAGTGTTGTATATGTTTTATCTGATTAAAAGGTTTCATTGCAGCAGGAAAGGCGCCTGGTGTTTGTTTTCTTATCATTTATAGTACACCTATTTCAAATAAAGCGATCCTTCGGCGCGATAGGACATCATTGTTTAGGGAGGGCTTCCCAATGGTGACAATGGAAGTCTGCACAGTCTGTTAGCAGGGCCGCTTGTTGTCTCCAGGGGAAGCCCATGACAGGGTGACAACGCAGGGGGCATGATTGGGAGACAGGAACAGAGCGCTGCCCAAACAAGGACCTTCGTGGCAGAAATCACCAGGAATTCACTTGACATTGACATGTTAAAAGGTAAGGTCCACCTT